CTGCATGCGAGAAGTCATGTTTAGCTAGGGGCATTTCGGCATGATGCGATTGCAGTTGCGGTGCGGCTGTGACTGCACCAGCGGAGCGCAACAGCAACATAATTAGCCCACAGCAGAGTCCTGGAAACGGGCCTCGAAGGCCTTCATAACAAATGGGGCATTCCCAAGCAGTTTGACTTTCAGGGAGGTTGGCGTACGTAGTGACAATCAAAGTCGAACGACCCAGCCTGTCGATTTGATCTCTCTGTCCGGGGTGGCGCTGATTCTTGTGTGCATCAATCAGTCTTGTAAGAGAGTCTCGGGCCCCAAGGCGTGGGGGAACCTTGATCTTGAGGTCGCACAACTTGCAAATCCACGCTTGTTCAGCCTGACCGTTGTCAACGGCATCTTGGAATCAGCAGGCCTGCATTTACCCTGCCGCTGGAACGGGGCAATGTCAGGCAGGTATTGGGTATCCAAGTTTCCATCATCGACGCTCTCAGCAGGGAGCGCGCAGGTAGAGGGTCTGGAGGCCTTTCCACTGATGATCGCCAGTTGGTTCTGGGGGTCCCTAGTAGACGTAAAGGTCCCAGAGCCTTTCAAAGCAGCAAGGTCGATACAAGCAGTTTGTTTGCAGTTGAGACGTCTGCGTTTGGGTGCAGGAGCACTGCACTCAAGAACCTGATCAAGGGCTTTCAGGTTTTGTTGGTGCATCGCGGAACCAACACGAGGAGGATTGAGGAGGCATATCTTTACCTTGAAAGGTCGTCCTGTTGGCTAGGCTCAAAGCACAACTGTCTCTTCCATGCAGGTGTCCTTGACGCCAAAGAAAGGGTATGGAACCTGTCCTGAGCACAGTCCTTAGTGAGGCTGCCCACTTCCTGAAAAGTGCTGCTGGAGCCGCTAGACTTGACAGAGAACTGGCAATCAGACGGTTAGGGCTATCATCTTCGGAACTCGACCCTTCTAAGCTCTCAAAGCCCACGGTGCTCCAACCTAAGGCTTCGCATCTCCAAGCGTTAAAAGCGCACCAACTTGGGACTCCCGAAAAGGAGTCGCAAGTAAGAGGGACATAGACCTTTGAGACGGACGAGCCTGCCTTTAACGGGCGTGCGCCTAAGCCAGGCCTGGGGGACAGCCACTTGGTTTTGCTTCTCTGCAGCTGTACTATGATCGAGTTGGCATGGGATCCGCGCCGGGCTGTTCGCATAGGGGAAGCTTCCAACCCAGGGCCAATTTGGTCTAGAAGAAGTCTAGCAACTCCTTGGATTTCAAGCAACTCCTTGGAACAAGAAGTCAAGATACAATCCAGCGAGAAACGCTGTGTCAAAGACGTTCTTTCAAAGTTGCTCGTCTGCCTCTTTTTCGTTGTGGACTTTCGTGGCAAGGATCAATGCCGGGACGTCGAGGAACATCATTCTTGGACTCGAACTTTTTTTGCAAAGCAGCAGCGGCGGCGGCGGCAGCAGCAGCAGCTGGTGCTGCTGGTCTCTTCATGGGCTTTGCTCTAGATGGACAAGCTGGCTCCGTCCGTTCTTCTTCATCTAGAGCTGATTTTAGATTTTTGGCTGGCAGCGAGCAGCCATTGCCGTAGAAGCTGTTCGAGGCTTTACAGCTGTGCTGTCTCGATCAAAAAATGGAGTAATGTGTGCGGTGCCTCACCGGTGACAATGTCACTCTTTGCGAACTTTGATGAACTTTGATTCTTGGATGACTATACCAGATGCGACTGACCCACGCCAAATTACAAAACATGCTGAAGAAGTTGAATTGCTCATTCTTGAAGCCTCCGGGTTTCCGAAGAAACAATGATGGTCAGATTTTTTGTTGTTCTTGGACTTATTCGTGCTTGTGTTGTTTTTAGAATTAGAACTGGTTCGTTTTTGCGCTGCGTTTTGGCTTTTGTTGCACTTGAAGCCACAATAGACCTGGAGACTCACATCTCTTATGAGACGCCAAAGCTTTTTCTGCAATTTTTGTCGAACGATAAAAACAGGTCCTCCTATTCTTGCTGCCCATAAGTGCAAAGTAACCTTGCTATGTTTGTTGATCACCGAAAGAATTCACTTATCTTATGGTATGACATGGTATGGCGAGATAAGCAGCCATTTCTAAACAAGATGTATTATAACGCAAAGAATTTCGACGAACTTGAAGTTTAAAATGGCGCAACATACAGAGATACAGGCATGCTTTCATATCTCTTACAGGGGTACGAAAGAACAACCGGTTTAGACTTAGTCATTGGCAGAATGTACGGCACGAACTCTGCAGTTTCTGGCCATTGATAGGGATGAGAAGACAACACTGATTATCCAAATCCAGAAGCGGAGGAGCTCTCTGATGTCTTCTTTAGTTGAGAGAGGCTCACACAACACAGAGAAGAAAACGGAATCCGTTTTGGTGCTCGGGCGGATTTCAAACAAGTAAAACAAGCAGTGGCAAGTGCAGGTGAAGTAGGCAAACCACAGTAAACATCGATTGTTTCTATAACTAGGAGAACAGACAAAGACCGAACATAGTGGCAAAACAGTCGGCAAGTATGGATCATGGGGGGTGTGACCCGCTGTTGCTAACACTGTTCCAACCATTACTACTACTGTTACTAATGGACCTTTCTGTACTATTGCTAGTACCACTACTACTGCCATGACTATGATCATGACTATGATTATGCCTATGACTCTATTTCTGGCCACCACCAGTACTAGTGCTATTACTACACAGTTCCCCTGCTACTGCTGTGACCAACCCCACTACATCCTACAGCTGCCACTGCCGTTACTACTGCCATACATGCTACGAGTGCAAAATGCTGGTGTTGTTCAAAGGATCGAGTGCAGGTGGCTTGTCATGCATTTAGCCTGTCTTGCTGTATTGTCTGGATCAGCTGCCTTCTCCCCCCTGCACTGCCTTTACGGCTGCGTTTTCTTTCTTGCGGACTGACTTGCTTTCCCTCCAAACCATGCGGCAAAGCCTAGAGTTATTGCGGTGTGGCTGCCTGGGGATGCCCAACAAGCCGTGAAATGCTGTCTGGTGGTTGCACCGGTAGCAGGTATGAGCCCTGGCGGTCTGTCGTCAGAATATGTTGTGTGTGCACAGATGGCAGTCAGACAGAGCAAAAGGAAAAAGCGGCGCCTGCCGCACAGCCTCCAATGCCAGCACCATCATGACTCCGTCAGGCACGCAAGAGATAGACTGGATTCGCAAAGGAATGTTCTTATGATGACAGTTACATGTGGAGCTGCCTGAAAACATGGGATTCTGCAGATTCTCTTGTTGATCTTGTTGGCTCTACGACTCTACCCAATGCAGCCTGCCAGCTGGCCGATGAAACAGCGCTCAACATGTCAGTCCAGATTGACAGAAGCAAAGCGAAAGTACCTCAGTGCTGTTGCTTGGAACGTCTGCTACCACGGCGACGATGCCGGCATTGGCATGCATTGGCGGCAGCGAGAACGACTAAGGCTTTGACTAAGGCATGCACCAACACAACCCAAGTCACCGACACCTCCAGAGCCACTACCAACACCACCGTCGCCACCACCACAACCATCAGAAGCACAACAAGTAAGAAAACATGCCCAACCACCAGCACCACCACCGCTGCCGCCGTAACCACCACCGCCACCAGCACCAGCACAGCTGCATCAGGCATGCCTTGAACTTGTGACATTCATTGCGGCTGCTTTTGAACAACATCTGCGCATAGAACTTACAATCCTCTCGGAGATGTGCAGAAGTGGGGGCAAATCTGTGTCCGCACAACACGCTAACAATTGCACGTGCCATAGGCGAAGTAGACACGTGAACATGCTGCGAAGCAACTGCAGACCAAGAAATAAACCCCAGCAAATCCACACAGCACTCTGCTTGGCAGGTACTTCTGAGATTGCCTGCGGGGCTGCTCTGCAGCCACGTCAGAGCATTTTCCGAAGGGTTGACACGAAATGGCGAAGTCTTCGACTGCATGGAGGTGCTCGATGCCGACAGATTCAACACGTGCTATCCGAAGTTCAATGATGCTGCACCTTGACAACACGACACGACTAAAGCATGAAATCGGCATCAGCTGGCTTGGCACAGCGTGGCGATTATGAACCACCACTGTCATTAGCAACAAGTTTTTGAATCGTCAGTGTGTTGGTAGGCCGCTGCATTCAGAAAAGAGAACCCAGGCTGTGTCATGGCAGCGCGGAGGTAACCTTCGCATGCAGTTCGCTTAAGATTACCAGGACTGTTGCTAAGAGATCTGAGACCTGGCACAGGCTCCGTTGAAAAACTCCAGTTAAACCTCGCATAGGCCTGGGAGCTGACACTATACACGGACGCACGGGCGGATGCATCAGAAACCCCGTTAGATGCATCGAAAGACCTCCGCAATGGCGTCATACTCGACAATGTGTCCCATCTGCATCTCGAAAGTCCGACACCGCCGCCTGCATCTCCTGATGTTGTGCCGTGGCCATGTCAAGTTACCTAACAGTTCGGAAGCTGTATTGGACAGTGATCTCCTCCTTTGATGAACCCACCAATCCCTCGCGCAATCGAGACCGCGCACGGACGTAATCATCAAGTTGAAGCTGGAGGTCTTCCTGAATACGATTCGAGTCAAACTGTCAGTTTCGCAAAAACGGACGAGTTGCTGCAAGTCGGAGAACGTCTGCCCCCAAGTCTACGGAAACAATCATCTGCACAAATCAGCATTACGGGGCTATGCCGCGTACAGCGACAATCGCAAATGCAGTTTCAAACACAATCAACCAACAGCCAACAACAAAGTGGTAAGCCGTCCCAAGATTCAATAGCTTGCAGCTGCTGTCGAAGCTTGACCTCGAAAGGAACAAGTCGTTGTAGCAAATCTGGCAAGATGTGATTTTAACATTGGCACGATCATTGTTTCCGACTTTCTTGATAGACCGATAGTTTTGGAAGGGACGTCAGGTAACATCAGATTATACCAAGTCGTCCATAATAGTGTCAACCTACAAGAGCACATGTCTAACATAAAACCAAGTGGCGTTCTGCTGTGTCAACGCATACAGATCGACTGATCTTGCAGGACCATGAAGCTGAATGCATCGCTCGGTAAAATCGTTTAAGCTGATGACATTGTCGCCGTCGGCATCCAAGCTTGCGAACAACGTCCACGCGTCGACAGCCCCCATTTCCAGCGACTCAAAGAAGGCCCGCACCGAATCGTCGTTGAAATGCCGCTCGAACTCAGAAATTGTGATCATCCCAAGACCCAGGTCGTCTATCTTTTGGAAAAGATTCGACACCAAGTCTTTGAATTCTTTCCGGCTCTGCAATAGCGAATGGATGACCATCTCGTGGTCACGCTCGGCAGCCTTTATGGCTGAGTTGCAAAATACGCCGGTCATCACCTGATTTTCGTCGTAGGTAGAGGCGAGGTGATGATGTTTTTCGTCGTTTTTTTGCACCATGAAGGCGACAACGGCTGGAACTGGCAAAAGCTTTACTCAACTTTAGTCTGACTCTTATCGACCCGGCCATACCAGGTTCTACCGCGGAACAAGACGAACAAAAACAATACATGCCTTGCATTGAATCCAAGTGGCATTTAATACTGCGAAACTTATGAATGCAATATAAAAGTTGAACAGTTGTGCCCAAATGGGGTCAATCGCTGTGAGGCTATCTGCCGCAGTACCCCAATCCATGCCATTCGAAATGGAGCGGAAAAGCGTTGAAATAGAAGAAGGCCTTGATCATCAACTGATCTCAGATGGATTCAAAAGCTTACCGTTTTGATACCGAGCAGCATGAACAGTACCACTGCAAAAGTCTGCCGTTCTCAAATCATAGGGGGATGGCTCCAGCCCTAAGATTTTAAGCCGCCCACAGTGGCTAATTCGCTCTCATATACAATCCTTCGTGATAGAAACGAAGTTGAGCATTCAAGAACAGAGACCGAGATTAACGAAGAATTGATATGAGACATTAAGTACACAGATTGCTGCACAAACATGGCAGTGCTTCCAACGTGGCTGCAACGATTGGTAAATGTGTCGATTTGCTGCGCAAAGCAGTCTGACAAAACAACTCAGATACAACCCGGGTTGGGCAATCTAGCACAGGATAGAAAGTTCTTAAGTCATCGGCAGACATGCAAAGTTGACGTTTTTATCCTAATCTGATTCGAAAACAGACAGGCACGCACTTTTTTAACTGGAACAACAAGAAGTTCGTTGGTGTGGGATGCCCCATCACTTGTGTCTTTTTTTGGGTCACTTGTGTCTTTTTTCCTTGGGTCACTTGTGTCATTTTTTCCTGTGTCACTTGTGTCTTTTTACTCCCTGCGAGACAACAGTCTCGAGCGAAAACCCTTTTTTGCTGGCCGTCCATGGTTGGCAAAAAGGCTTCCAGGTTTGGGCCGTTTTTTCAATATGGTTTCGGTCTGGGTTTACTCTTTTGGGGCTTCGGCCAGGGTGTGCTCCTTTTATTGTTGGGTTTACTCCTTTTAGGGCTTCGGCCTGCATTTCGTCCTTTTCAAGTTTCGGCTCTCATTCAAGCTTGCCTTTCATTTCTTTTAGGGTTTCGGGGTCGGTTTACTCCGTTTAGGTTTTAGGGTTTCGGCTTGGGCACTCCTTCATTAAGGTTTCGGTCTGGGTTTGCTCTTTTTGCGGCTTCGGCCTCGGTTTACTCCTTTTAGGATTTCGGGGTCCGTTTACTTCTTTCACGGATTGGCCTTCTTTCATTAGGGGTTCGGCCTGGGTATATTCTTTTTAGGGTTTCAGGGATTGGGCCTACTTATTTTTGGGTTTAAGTCTGGGCTCAGTCTTTTTAAGCTTTCGGTTTTCTTTCACTAGGGTTTCGGTCTGGGAACACTCCTTTTGGGGTTCGGCCTGGGATTGCTCCATTTAACGCTTCGGGGTCCGTTTACGGCCTGGGTTTACTCTTGTTTTCGTTCATTAGGATGTCGGTCTGAGTTTACTCCTTTTAGGGCTTCGGCCGGGGTTCACTCCTTTTGGATTCAAGCTTACCTTTTGCTTCCTTTACGGTTTCGGGGTCGCTTTACTCCGTTTAGGTGTTAGGGTTCGGCTTTCTATCAAGCATACCTTTTGATTTTGTCACCTTTTGGGGTTTGGGCCTGCTTTCATTAGGGTTTCGGTCTGGGTTTTTTCCTTTTAAGGCTACAGCCTGGGTTTACGTTTTTTTAGGTTTTCGGGATTATTTCACGCGTGCCCCTTACTTCTTTTAAGCTTTCGGGGCCCGCTTTCTCCTTTTCGGGTTTGGGCATTCTTTCATGCGGTTTCTGTCTGCGCTTACTCCTTTTAGGGCTTTGGCCCGGGCTTAGTCCTTTTATGGCTTCGGCCTGGGTTTACACCTTTCAGGGAGAAGGCCTTCTTATTTTGAGGTTTGTGTCCGGGTTCACACCTTTAGGGCTTCGGCCTGGGTTTACTTCTGTTTTCTTTCACCAAAGTTTCGGTCTGGGTTTACTCCTTTTAGGGTTTCGGCCTGGGTGTACTCGTTTTAGGTCTTCGGCCTGGGTTTACTCTTTTTGGGGCTTCGGCTTGGCTTACAGTTTTTAGGGTTTCGGCCTCCTTTCAAGCTTACGTTTTGCTTCTTTTAGGGTTTGGGGGTCGCTTTATGTTTAGATTTCAAGCTTCGGCTTTCTTTCAAGCATACCTTTTATTATTTCGCCATTTCGGGTTTGGGCTTTCTTTCATTAATTAGGATTTCGGTCTGGGAACACTTTTTTTTGGGTTCGGCCTGGGTTTACTCCTTTTAACGTTTCAGGGTCCGCCTAGGTTTACTCCTGTTTTCTTTCATTAGGATTTCGGTATGGGTTTACTCGTTTTGGGGCTACGGCCCCGCCTGGGTTCACTCCTTTTGGGGTGTCGGCTTTCTCTCAAGCTTACCTTTTACTTCTTTTACGGTTTCGGGGTCGCTTTACTCCGTTTAGGTGTTAGGGTGGGTTTTGGGCCTGCTTTCATTAGGGTTTAGGTCTGGGTTTATTCCTTTTCGGGCTTCGGCCATCCCCCTTCCCTTAAGGTGGGGGGGAGATAACA